AATAATAACAATAATAATAATAATAATAATAATAATAATAATAATAATCAAGAATAATAACAAAATAACTAATTACAATAACCCAAGTATTTTTTTCATCCGCTTATAGACCCATTTTGTACGCTAAATATTTGTAAATTATAAGCGTTTTATTTTGTAGTAATAATTCTAGAGTTACATCAGACACTCGCGCCTCTGTTCCTCATTTGGAATAGGTTTAAGCGGCCGTCTCGTTGTCCCCGTGCCCGTATCTCTCCGCAGCGCACCTGTTCTTCACCGCTGCTCGGTCCGTGACTACAGTACCCACGTAACATTGCGCAATGTCCCTCGATCCGCGCGCTGCGCCAGTCTGCTCGAGGAACCCGTCCGCACGCTCGGCCTTTTTTCTGCTTTCTCACTGTTGCCTATGGTGTCAACCTACGCCGAGAGAGACACATCCCTCCCTCTTCCCCCCTCAGCGGCAGCTTCCAATTTGCCTTCGCTTTTCTTTTCGCCTCTTCCATTGGCTTGCGCGCTGCCAGTCAAGCGCTTCCTCTTTACAGGAGAGTTGAGTAGCAACAGCTCGGAAACATCTGGCTGCCGCAGCTCTCGTCGCTCCGCTCGCCTGCTCCGTCTTTCCTGCCACCGCAGGTTGTTATGGAAAGCTGTTGAAAGTCAATCGAGTTGTTTTTCTCGCTGAGAGGATTAGACGGAGGAAGCAGGAAGACGTTGGACCTGGTTGTCTGTAAGTGCCTGTGATACGAGGTGCTGTTTAAGGAGATGAAAGGGGGGTTGGAGGCACGGGCTGGATTGTTATGGAGAAAAGTAACGATCTTTTTCACGCGACTGTCGGTCTTTACGCGCAGAATGAGTTGCTCGAGCGCGTGGCATCGGGGCCTGTCGAGAAACTGTAACACTGCAGGTTGAACGCTTACTTTTTATTTGTTAGCCACGCAAGCTAGCTTTTCCTGAACGTACGGGGTCAGGATCCAGAGAAAGACCGTCGGCAGTGCTGTGTGTGTGTTTGTGTTTGTGTAGGAGTAGCTTGCTGTAATACCATTTCCTACCTAGGTGGACTCATAGTTTGTTTTATTTTATGTCTAATTATTTTGCATCGCAGCTTTTAAGTTCAAGAAGGGGCTAACTTGGCACCATTCAGATAAGTCTTTCAGGACAACTTCCCAGGTTTGAAAACAAGTTCACTTTGACGTGTCACGGTAGTGTGGGCTTAGTTGTTTCGTTTACCTTCATGATTACTAATTGCTTTGTAAACCAAAATGCGTAGTATTATTAATAAGCAAGCCTAAACGTTCGAGTACATATTGAATGAAAAGCTCTTATTAGTTAAAAAAAAAAAACGAGACCAAGTGTAATGTACGTGACAGATGCAGTAGACTCTTCATTCTTGTAGCTTTTTAAGTATTTAAAATATTAATGCATGTCAATGAGTTTTTAAAAAAAACTAAATATTCTGTTCCTATTCATGAGTGTGACATCCTTCAGAAGAGACCTTCAGATTATATTTGTGTATCTTTGTTTTGCTTATTTTAGTGGTAAACAGGAAACTGTTGTTTGGCTCTCACTGAAGAAGTTTCTGAGTATGAACACAATTATAAGTGGGATACTTAAGAAGTTAAGGAAGTCCTAATGCGGAACACAGTGCCTTTTGTTTGAACCTTACTTATAAGGCCTGTATGATTGTTCCCATTGTTTCTTATTTCTTCCCCCCCCCTCTGTCAGTTGTCCAAAGGGTTAGTGAAATGAATGACGGTAATGGCGCGGCCAGTGAACCATAGAGAAGTCGAAAACAATATCAGCTGCGTGGATCTGTCAGTTGCAAATGTGCTGTGCTGGCCTTTGTTTATGGTTACTAGAAGGAGAGAGGGGGAAAAAAACTAAGGGTATTTAAATTCTCAGTGCAGGAAACTAGGTTAGAAAAAAAGTGTCGGCTTTCAGACGGACCCATTTCCAAGTACTTCTTTGCTGAGAGATTACAACTAAAGGGGGGAATTGGCTAGTTTTCTACAGAATCACCTCACAACACTTCCCTTCCTCCTGTTTTTTAAATGGGGGGAAAGAGAAACAAAGTTGTATAAAGGAGAAGCTGGTGGCAAGAGTGTAGAGGAGTAGCATATGGCACTAAAAGGAGCACAGCTGGAGGTAGCATTTCCATCTGAACATGATGTCAGAGCAGCTGACAGGCTGCCATCCCCCAGTCTTTTCTTCTAACGCACAGACTGGGAGTTAGTGTGTGTGCGGATCTGTGTGCAGGAGGAGGCATCGCATTCCCCTCCAACATCTCCTCCACTTTGCATCTGTCCCTCACAGTTTGATTTTCTCTCTCTTTCTCTCACGTCTCTACCCTTTCATTGATTCAGCGAAGGGAGTTACAGCCGGCGCTACCACAACAGTGGACTTAATCAAGTTGATGCGTACTGCAGGTACTGTACCGGGGGGTCTGGGCAACAGGGATGTGTTTTGAATAGGGAGCTCTCGTTAAGTCTTTTTGCGCGTCTGCCATCAGCCATCAGCCAGAGTGTGTGAAATGGGAAGTAAAGGATTTCGAGCTGGTGTAGTGTAACCAGGCTGGGGGACAAGTGACACTTTTTGTTGCCATGAAGAGGTTTCCAGGCAAGCGTTTGATTATTCTGTTTGTTTGCAGGTCTTCTATTCGGTTACTTCGTTCTCAATGACAAATTGTTGCTCTGTTGTGACAGTATAGAGTGGCGTTGGTAGGGTAGTTCATTATAGTATTACAGATTTAAAACTAGAAACTCTTATGCGTTTATAAAACCTGTTTTTTCTTTAAGTAACGAGATCTTCTAAATCTTCTAAAGCGACCAAAAATGCAGAAATGCTTTTAGCGAAATAAATCTGCAACTTTATATAATCGCGCGTTCTTCAAAACGTCCCTTCGTCAGGCTTTTGCTCAACTCTTTCCTTTTTTTCGTGTTTGTAAGGACTAATTTAGAACTTGCAGATTTGAGCTGCCTGAATTGGCTAGACAGCTGTAATCGCACTCCTCCTAGTCTTAATCTCTTTATCTGGGCAGCAGCTGCCATATGGTCTCAGTCAGCTGGATCAGATGTTCATAAGCCTCCTTCTCCGTCCCTCTCTGTCCTCCCAGTCTCCTAATTTGATCGCTGCTACCTTGTGAGCTGTCCTGCAATCTTTATTTTTAGCCATTTTAAGGATTAGGATTGATGTGGACTACGGGGCACTTAAAGTGATTGTATTGTAAATCTGCTGTGGACCGCCTCTTTGGGGAGGATGTTCCATTTCTCCAAAGAGTTGGGGAGGGGAAAAGGGGGAGGAGAGGGCTGGCGAGAGGTTTGTTATCCCCCTGTCCCCCTATAAGCCCCTCATTAATGAAGGTCTGAACGCTGTTTGGGGTGGGGTGGGGGGCTTTGGCTTGCTATCCCAATCAGATTTAAATGAAGATTCAAATGAGTTCATGTAAGTCCGCTGGTTGAACATGACGCTGGTGCATTTTTTAAGACGGGAACGATCTCCACAGGCAACAGGTGTGATTTCATATTTTTTGCGTTTTATTTTACTTTTAACTTTTTTTAGTTTGTAAAGTGTTTGTGTAATATTTTTCATATAATATATTTTTTAGTCTGTCTATCTTTGATTACGCACGTCACGCTGATGTTCTGCTACCTCAGTTTTCATAACCTTAGAAATCATGGTACTTAGTATACTTATGCAGTGTGCCAATGATGGTGAGCTGTTTGTGTACCTGTAAGCCTGTTACCTATACTCTGCATCCTGGCCAAAGTGGGTTATTATAAATAACTACTCCAGGAGCACAGCGAGGAAAAACAGGAAAGATTCTCTCGCACAGGCATCTGTGGAATCAGGACTTCAGCTCCTTACATCACGCCATCTGATAATACCGGAATGATTCTGATGGGATGATCACGGCTGTATTGCTTTAAATTTAATTTACAATTGGGATATTTTTCATTTACATTTTTGAATTAATATCCCAGGTCTCGTGCTTTTAAACTTTTAATTAAAAGGGTTAGTGTAAAATGTAATATTAAACACACTATTGTGTACTTTAAAGTGCACATTTGAGGAAAATGCAATTAGCCTAATATATAATCTGTGATGTTATACTTTTTGCATGTGCTTTTTTGTAATCCTTTTATATCAGGACTGTGGTGAACATTTTCCAGTGTTCCCACAGGGGTGGAGGGAGGGAGAGAGAATTAGAGTGAGAGTATGTCTGTGTGCATGGAGCGAGAGAGAGGGGACGGAGCGGGTGGGAAAGAGAGAATTTCCACACAGAGCTTCAGACAAAACAATTGTTGTTCAAGCGAGCCTCACTAACATCTGTGGTCTTTTGCAGGTTATGAAGACAGCATGGAGTTTCCAGACCACAGCAGACATTTGCTACAGTGTCTGAGCGAGCAGAGGCATCAGGGATTCCTTTGTGACTCCACTATTCTGGTCGGTGATGCCCAGTTCCGAGCCCATCGTGCAGTGCTGGCTTCATGCAGCATGTACTTCCACCTCTTTTACAAGGACCAGCTAGACAAAAGGGACATTGTACATCTGAACAGCGACATTGTCACAGCCCCGGCCTTTGCTCTCCTGCTTGAGTTCATGTACGAAGGAAAGCTCCAGTTCAAATCGCTTCCAGTGGAGGATGTGCTGGCTGCTGCCAGCTACCTCCACATGTACGACATTGTCAAGGTGTGCAAGAAGAAGCTCAAGCGGAAGGCCACAGCTGAGGCCGACAGCACCAAGCGGGAGGAGGATGCTTCCAGCTGCTCGGACAAGGTGGAGAGCTTCTCAGAAGGTGGAAGCACGGGCCGGCCGGCCACCGCCGACCTGCTGCAGAGCGACGACGAGGACATGGAGAACAAACGGGACAGCCCTCAGGAGCCAGGGAGCATGTGGATGCGTCTGCCTTCCGACCAGACCGCGTCTCCCACCACTAGCCCCAGGGAGGCGGAAACACACGGTCCCAACACTGGCAAATCTCCTGCCGGCAGCCCCAGCAGCTCCACCGGCTCTCTGTCCCATCGCTCAGCGGTGTCTCGGAGAGTCTCTGCTGACACCGATTGTGTGCTTGACCTCTCTGTGAAGTCTGGTCTGGGCGGAGGTCCTGGGGAGACTATTGCTGGCAACCCTTATTTCTGCAGCTCTGTGACCCCAGACAGCCTCCAGAGTGCCTTGGTTCAAGTCAAGGTGGAAAAGGACACAGGCTCGGACGATGACGAACTGGTGAGCGGCGACTACGAGATGGAGCACAGCGGTGTCAAGGAGCCACCCAGCACCAACGGGACTCACATCAGCCTCGTTGCACAACGGAGGTTGGGCCTGGAGGCTCACCTCTCGGCCCTGCGTGAGGCCTCACTGGCCAGTGAGCTGGAGCGGGACGACAAAGGAGGCGATGACGACACAGGGGACAGCGAGCGAGCTCATGAGGCCACGGGGGTTGAGAACTCCCTGTTGCCTTACGTCTCCAGCATGCTGGGGGCTCCACATACTCAGATCTTCTTGTGCCCCTTATGCAACAAGGTCTTCCCCAGCCCACACATCCTGCAGATCCACCTCAGCACGCATTTCCGCGAACAGGAAGGCGTACGGTCCAAGCCGGCCAGCGATGTCAATGTCCCCACCTGCTCCATCTGCGGCAAAACCTTCTCCTGCATGTACACGTTAAAGCGCCACGAGCGGACACACTCGGGTGAGAAGCCCTACACATGCACTACTTGCGGCAAGAGCTTCCAGTACTCGCACAACCTGAGCCGGCATGCCGTCGTGCACACACGTGAGAAGCCACACGCCTGTAAGTGGTGCGAGCGGCGCTTCACACAGTCAGGGGACTTGTACCGACACATCCGCAAGTTCCACTGCGAACTGGTCAACTCGATCTCGGTCAAGAGCGAGGCGCTCAATCTTCCCACAGTCAGAGACTGGGCACTGGAAGATAGTTCACAAGAACTGTGGAAATGAAAGCTAAACTGATAGCAGACTGTTTGAACTGCTTGTTAATTTAATGAGAGAGATCTGAGTGGCATTTTTTGGGGCAAGAGAGGTGAAGGTAAGAGTGGGGCGGAGTGACGGCCGAAGGGTCTGAATCAGTCATTTTTCTTGTATGTACATTGCAAATCTTGTTGAATTGCACTTTACTAGCACATGAAAATGTTACTACTGATTTTCTTTTAATATATTTTCTGGTCTCTTTAGGGATGTATGTATGTATGTATGTGTATGTGTATGTGTATATATATATATATATATATATGTATGTATGTATGTATATATGTATATGTGCACTACTATAATTTGCAGGTAACATATCTGATGTGTGACTGTGGCCGTGCATGCATGTGTATTCATGCACATACGCTAAGCTCACGTTACTTAAGCTCTTGTACATTTTTGACTCGTTATAGGAAACTTGACTGATGGAAGACAAACAAGGCACTCATGCAATGTACAGCCTCCTTTTTCATATCAGTTGCCGCATTTTTTCTGTCCTTTCTTAATATGATTTGAAGTCATTTTTGCATTTTAGTTGCAGTCTCTCTACATCACTCGTTTGCTACTGAGGTTGGTTTTTACATCGGCTGCATTTATAGAGATTTCTGTAGTGTTTTATTAAGATTTTTCATTTTTAAAACGGAATCTGTTGTTGCATGATGTCTGACCTGTATATTGAAAAAGATGTGACTTGCTGTATTGCTGTACACTGTAATTGACTGATTCATTACAGTCAGGGCACCTGTCTGTTGAGAAAAAAAAAGTACCTTTAATATTACCGCTGTAGAAATTGCATGAATTTTATTTAACTTACTCTTTTTCGTTGTTGTTTTGCATCAGAGAGTGTATTTTTTAATTAACTCATTTGATTCCTTGGTAGATTTGAGTTTTTTCCTCTCATTAGAGAATGAATCGGGGGGGTTCTGGTGAGGTGTTTTTTCTGGGCTGTGAAGATTGTGGAAATGCACTGACGTTAGGCTGCAGTATCTACACACGCGATGCGATTCGGTTCGGGCTCACTGTAGGATTCGGAGTTTAACGAGGGGCCAGGTGTCAGCAGAGGCTGAATGGCTACGTTTATTGTTCAGAAGGCTACCGTGGCTCCTCTTAGCATCTCCTTGTGTGCTGGGTCCTCAACTGCTGTTTGTCTCAGTGTCCTGTTTACTGTCTGTTGTCATTTGAATCATGTCCGCTCTATTTGTAATTTATTTATTTATCTTTTCAATTGGCACTTGCTTCAGATTCGATTGCCATGAAGACACATTTGTGTGGCTGATGGTACAGCTCTTCTTTATGGGTGTCCTTAGCAGCGCACATCTATTTGGAGAGGCTGAAGGATCTTTAAACAGCATAAAGCTCGACACACTCTGATCTGAGTGGTTTGTGTGCGTGTGTTTGTGTTCGATGCGTAAGACTTTTTTTTGGTCACTAGAACCTGTTTGGCAAGGTTGGTTGCACCTTTGAAGTTTAATGAAATTAGAATGATGTGCAAAAGAGGCCTTTATAAAATGTATATGCTTAATTATTAACCTAATTGAATTGACTTTGTTACACTGAAAAAAAGATCTACAAATTTGTGATTGTTCATTTGTTAACTTTTTGGCAGCATTTGTGATTTTGAAAAATGTTTATTCTAAAAATGTTTTTTTTTTTTCTTTACATTTATTTCATTTGCAAAATTATATTAGGGTTTCTTTTATTAAGAATGTGAAAATTCTGTTCATTTTGTTTGTTGGTTGGTTTGTTTCACAAAAAAAAAATATTTCATTGTCAAATCCAGAGAAATAAAAAGCAAAGAAAAATGAAAAACATATGGCTTAGCGCTGAAGACATAGATCAGTCACTCACATAGTGCTGAAATGCTTGAACTACTTTAGTTAGAGAGGGCCAGGGGCTCCGCACATGTTTCGAGCAGGACAGGAGTGTGCGGCACACGGGCCTACGTAGGCCTCAGGAACCTTCCTACCATATATTTGGCTGGTGCAACGGCTAGTGAAAAGGTTGAGCTTTGCCAACAGCGCACGCTCCTCATGGCGTTTTGCACGGTGGTACTTTTACCTTTTGCACTCTAAAATGTGACAGAAAAATATATCAACTGTGGGGTTGATTTGTTTTCTATGCTTTCTTTTTCTTTGTTTTTTTTGTTGGCTTCTATTGTACTTGACCGCCTTAAACTACTGTTATCAGCTTATACTCAGAGGGTGAAAACTGGAAACTGTCGCTGGAATACTGGATGACTTTCTTTGACTTTTTTTTTTGTTCAATGGAAATGAAGCTGTGAAATGGCCTATGAAGCATATCCATAAATTAGACACCCCTTTAGTTTACTTGAAACCCAGGAACCCCAGTGTGAAGAACAACTCTGTCAAATTCAAACTTGGCTAATGAGTATGGGGAAGAAAATAAATATCTGTTGAATTCAAGGACAATCGCTGTCCGGGTGGAAAAAAGAAGAAGATAATTTGACTTTACATGTAATTGCTTCCCTTCTGAGATTTTTTGCTATGTTGACATTGTTCTTTTTATGGATTTAGACATTTAGCTTTGACAATCATAGTATGTTTCATTTTCTCAAGGGAAGTAAATTGAGGCTGTTTAGTTTTGTACTTTTGGTGTGCTGTTGGTGAAATTTTTAAATTGTGTGCAAACTGCAATAAATTATAAGAACCTTAACCTCTCCGTGCCATTTTTCTGTCAGAAACTTCTGGCGGGATTTGCCAGAGCAATGACGACATGCATATTGGTGAGACTGTGTTTGTGTTTTTACATTCAGTTCAATAAACTTATTTACTGTAGATGCTTGTGTGGGTGGAAACATGTTTTCCAGTGCGTTAGGTCTGTGGATTGAGTATACTGTCCGTGTGTGTGTGTGTGTGCGCGCACGTGAGTGTAAGCAGTCTTACATGGCTCATGTGTATATGCTGCTTTAATGTCTGGCTGGTGCTCCAGTAAAGGCGTGGGTTGGACCTGGGAAAATGTGCAGCAGCTTGTACGAAGACCAACCCCTCCCCCTGCATCACACACACAGGCTGCTTCCAAAGCTCCTCAAGTACAGTTTTCCAGCAAACAAATCAGCTTTATCTAATGTCTCACTGTTCGGCAAACCTGGCCTATACAGATGCACTAAAGGCTGACCACTTTTAAGTCAGCGAGCGTTACTCAACAGGCCACTGCCACAGATGGTCCCGTGCTGTAAGCCTGCCCCCCTTCCTCACACACACGCACACACAGCACCTCCTAATTGGTGCGAGATTTAGTTTTCAAACTCGTTTTGGACTTAAGATCCATTTCCGCTTGTATTATTGAGGAAGTCTGAATAGTGCCTTATTGTTTTGTATTTCTAGATAATATTGTGCACTCTTTGGCTGATTTTCTCAGAGAGCTGAAATTTGATTTGTGACATTCACATACAAATCTGCATCTAACATCTGGTTGGAACGGACAGTTGATGCTTTGCGGGGGCATAATGATTTTCTCTCTTTGCTTTTTTACTATGAATTTAGGTCATTAATTTGTATCTGTCCTTTGTTTACTCAAGGAGCAGAGACAAAGGGGCAGCTGTGGAAACATTTGGCTCTGCCGAAGGCTAGTGGGCTCGATGTGATGAGTGTGTTACCAGCTTGGGCTTCTATATGTAGCAACACCACAGAAGTTAGCGGGAGCCGCATGCCAGCGTACTAGGGGAGAGCGACACACATGGCATCAATAGGGCAGCCGTTGCACTGAGGTATGACTGATTCTGCCCACGCAGATAGCTGCTGAGTGCCTCACCAAACTCTGTGACAAGCTCCAAATATAATGTACATTAGAGGGGCGCAGACAGGAAAAGGCCTTTCTGTTTGCTGGCATATGAGAGGAGTCACAGCAGATGCCATGCTCCATGAAGTTGGCAGTTGCTTATTTTGATTTAAGTTTTGTTTGTTTGTTTTCAAATTTCTTTTACCTTTAATATCCATGGAAAATTTTTATTCCACAAAATGTTCTTTAGATTATTAAAATGCTCTTCACACCAAAAAAAAAGGTTATTTTAAGAACTGTTCACTGAAAGAGTGTTAGGAAATTTGGAAATCCAAAGTGGTTATTCTATGGCATTGCTGTGAAATTGCTCTTTATTTTTTAATAGTGTAGGTGTCCAACATATTAAAGTAATTTGAAGGGGAAATGAGGTTGATTTAAAAATTGTTTTTAATAGTTGTTACACAATGTGGGTCTTTGGAACATCCAAACATAAAGATAGTCAATTTCAACAGAACATGAAGGTTAAACATATTATTATTAATAATAATAATAATAATAATAATTTAAAAAATGATATGAAAATAAACTCAAATTGATCGTGACCGTCATACAGAAACAGACTAAAAATGTAGAAACATGAAAGCCCACAGCTCATTTCTTCTTCCTGTTTGAATAAAACAGGTTAACCTGAGCATATATGTCATTAAATTGTCCTTTTAATCAATAAATATAAACATAATACATATGAAATATGTAATAATACTAACATGTGTGTATACTTATGTATATATATTAACATTAATATACCTGGTAACACTTTAGAATAGGGAACACTTATTCACTATTAACTACGACTTTTCCCTCAATAAATTCCTAATTTGCTGCTTATTAATAGTTAGTAAGGTAGTTGTTAAGTTTAGGTATTGGGTAGGATTGGGGATGTAGAATAATATGTGCTTAATTAGTACTAATAAATGGCTAATATTCTAGTAATATGCATGTTAATAAGCAACTAGTTAAGAGACCCTAAAATAAAGTGTTACCACATACCTAAATATTAACATTTTAATAAAATATTTCATTTTGGCTCCTACACCACAGTTTCATAAAAGCAAATTTCCACTTTTCATAAAAAGTCAAAAAAGTGCTTGAAATTTAACTGCGGCCAGCAGTTAAGATGTAAAGAATTTGAGGGAATGAAAGGAGCATTAAGTCCTACATGAAAGAGAAAGGAAAAAATAAAAAGTACAAGGGCTGAGCAGATAAAAGGTGAGAAAAGCAGGCTAGAGGGACGACGTCTTTTTTCTTTCAGTTGTCTGCCTCGTTTAAAAGACAGCCATTGTTGAGCGCCCTGCGCACACAGACAGAAGGCAAGCAACAAGCGGCTTGTCTTGGCCCTTCAGACAATGCAGCGGTGCTACAGCCTGTCAGGAGTGGGGGAGAGGGGTCTGCGTGGGGCAAT